GCAAAAGATAATCTAGCTATATAGGCCGGGCTTATAACTCTTAAGCAGGGGCTTAAGAGCATAGTAGAAGAAATAGGGGCATAGAAAGGTAAATTTAGTAATATATATCTTAGTCTATCTATTAGGATAAGGGAGGGGCTTATATAGGTATAGTGACCATATATAGCTAGCTAAAGGAGGGCATTAGGATGTTCCTATACCTAAGTTAGGCCTATATAATGTCCTTGGGCTAGGGGAGTTATGTTGGTCAGGCAGGCTTCCTTGTGCATGACTATTGGGTCTACTAGGCATGACTGTGGCCTCTTATGCCCACTCTCCTTAACATCTACCTATTGCACGATCGACTGCCGCGATCGGTGAGGGTGTCAGCTTCATCCGATGTCGCGCCGGGATCTTCCTGTAGTAGAAGAGATGTTTTGGTTCTTTTCGGCGGCCACATGAGCACGTCAGCCGCGTATCGTCGTGGTCGAGCCTTTCGTGGTAGTCAGCAAAATCCCCGTGGTGGGTTCTTGCTGCGAGCAGATGGTTATCGGCTGCTTTTCGAAGACGGTCGGCGTGGAATAGGTTCTTCATTTTATACGACTCGGGCAGCTGCAGTACGTAGCTATGACCGCGTTCTTTTAGGATTACGAACGGACCTGACCATTGGTTATCTAGCCGAGTAGTCGGGGCGTTCGTGGCGAAGCCTTTCCTGCTGAGAAAAACTCGGTCACCGATGGCAAAGTTGGTTGGTCGTCGTTTCCTATTAGCCTGTTCCTTCTAACGTTCTTGAGCGGCGGTGGCAGCATTCCTGGCGTCTTCCTAGGTTTCCTGCGCGGTCTACACAAGCTCCCTAGCTCTGGCAGCGGGTCCGGTGGAAGCGGTCTTGTTAGTCGGGGGCAGTGACAGGGGGTTCCGGATATCTCGGCATAGGGCTACTTTTAACGGTGCCATGTCGATGGAAGAGTGCCAAGACGAGTTATAGGCGAATTCGAGGTTATAAACTTGTTCCTATAGCAGCAGCAGCGCCTGCTCGGCGGATCGTCGCTTTCTTGCTCCGAAGTGGTTCGCGGGTAGAAGACCGTAGGTCTCTATTGCATACGAGATGCGCTCGGCCACGACCGCTTCGAGTATCTTGCCAAGCGTTGATAAAAGCGAGATTGGTCGCCACGCCTTGGCTACCGTATAGTCGTCTTTATGTGGCTTCTTTAGTAGGATAATTTTCGCGTTTTTCTATTAGCGAGGTACGACGCCGTCTCGGAGAGATGCCTCGAAGAGGGCAAATATTCGATCTTTTGCCACTAGCTAGAGTAATCTCTAAACCGCTATCGGAAGCTTATCTTCTCTAGGTGCTTTCCACGGTTTCGCTATTATAACCTTTTCCTCGATCTCTCCTAAAATTAGTACGGGCATAGGCACCGCTTTCCGCTATAGTCGCACTCCCTTATCTTCGATTCTCGCGGGCAAGGGCGGGAAGAAGGCACTAAGCAGCTCGTCTACCTAGTCTGCTTTCTCCTCGGTCGTCGATCTATCCCCTTTCTTTAAAGGTGGCACCCTATCGCCCGTAGTGCTCTTGCCGGCTTTAAGATATTTAGTCGCCCTCTAGATATTAGCATCGTCGGAGAGGAAGTTATCCTAATGCGCTTTCCTTTAGTATCGAATAGCATCGTAGAACTCCTTCGCTGCTTCTTTAGCCCGCTATTCGAGGTCTAGTCGCGCCTAACTTACTCGTCGTTGTATCCGTGCTTAGTTCCGCTAGAACGTATATACCCGCCGAAGTTATATAAGATCCTAGGTCTACTAACGTTTTATATACGGTAATAGCTATGCCTAAGGCTTTAGTTTATAGATAGCCCCTAGGACGACCTATATTAGCTAATCTATCTAGGTTTAAACGTTAATAGCCTAAGGTAGGAGTTATAGATTATCTTTTACCCGGCTTCGTATATAATTTTAAGGGGCGTTCTTAAATAAAAGCCTTAGCGTCGTACTTCTCTCTAGTATCGTAATATTAAAAGTCGTCTAAATAGCTCTATAGTCTAAGCTATAATCTATTAGATAGATAGCGTATATTGCTATTTCGTCGGCTAACTCTAACGTCGTTAACACTAAATCGATAGTGCTCTCTTAATCCTTGCCCTACTACGTTTTCGTGCCCCTTAGGAGTAGGCTCCTAAGGCTATAATCGTTTATTAGATTAATAATCGGCCCCGCTTCTTCTTATCTCTAAACCGATACGTCGTCTCCTCTCTAGAGCAGGTTATAAGAGTTAAAGTCCCTAGCTAACACCACGTCTATATATACACTAAAGCCTTAGCGAAAACTCTAGATTAAGTTATATAATAGCCTAGTCGTGCTTTTTAGCGCTTTAGTACTTTTCCCTTCTATATAGACCGATACTATTAGGACGCTTCTCCCTAGCAATCGGAGCACCGCTACCGTAAGGTCGGAATCTATATTATTTCTACGTCGTCTCGCACCTAAAGCATACTACGGATCGGCCACGGGCTATTTCTTATATACGTTAGTAATATCCTTATCTAATTGCTATATATTACGGGGCTTATTACTACCTTACCGTCGATCGTCCTTACGTATAGTTCGGAAACCGCTAGCACTCCGTAGTCTTTAAGATCCTTATTATTTATTAGACTCTATTATACTAGTTCCCGGTTTCGCATATTAAGCTATAGAATGCTTAGTGTCTTATATATTAGAGTGGGTATTTCGCACACAGTAGTTCCGGCTAAACGATTCGTGCGGTCCGCTATATAAGACGCACTTCGGTTCTATTACGCGGCAGTCCCTATAGTAATAGCCTATACTCGCATATCTTCTATATACCTAAGGCTTCTTACACCTAAAGGCTTTATAGCCTATGTCTTAATAGTTAAAGCACTATATCGGTCCCTTATAGGGTTCGAACGGATTAATATACGCCGACTCTCTGGCTAGATCGAAGTACTTACTATCTAAAAGCTTCTTTATATTAGTCTTTTTCGTTACGTAGACTGCTATAGACCTATATACTTTACTTATTTCCCTATTACTTAGCTAGGCGATCTTACCGATTATAATATTATTTTCGGCACCGAGGGCCTCGGCTATACCTTATAGGATATTGCCTTCTCTATCGAGGATCGCGATACGATTAATATTATCGACTTTAACTAGGTAAAGCTACTCTCTTATTACTCGAGCTCTAGTTACTACCGTCTTCTACGCGGCTTCCTTAACTCGTTGTAGCTTAATCTCGTTTCTTTAAATAATCTTTATATACTCTATATTTCGAGAGTTTCTTACTACTGCCGCGCACCTCTAGGTCGCCTAGCCTTCCTTCGCTCTAACCTCGCTTTTAATAGCTTATCGGATCGAGCCTATCTATGCTCGGCCTCTGCCATACTCCTCTACTCGGGATATATCAATTATGCAGAAAAGCTCATTCGTGGTAGGTTCCGCACTATTACCAGACGAGAGCGACTAATTATACGGTGCTCTGTTGTAGCGACGGCGATAATCGTGCGACCTCAGCGAACGTTTTAGGCGGGGTAACCGCTGCACCGGCGACGATAGCTTTAAGTTGCTTTCGGACCTGCTTAAGTTAGTCGTTCATCTGCTGCTTTATGTCTTCTAGATAAACTTTGAGCTCTCGGCTGATAGTTCCTTGCTTTTCTACTTCTTCTTTCTGTTTTCGGATTATGTCTTGCTGCTCGCGGATGATCTCATTTTGCTCTCTGAGTATCTCTTTCAATCCTCGGAACTCCGCACGATACTCGTCCAGCAGCTCCCAAGCCGAAATCCGGCGAATCGTCCGATCCGGCAGATCACCGGGAAATCCCTTAGGACGAAGCAGCAAACCTTCTCGTGGTGTCCGGCGTCAGTAGCTGCGGGTGCAGCGGTGTGCTGAGGGTGGAGCCAGAGGGGAGGGGGCACGGAGGCGAGGGGGCACGACAGGAATCTCTCCTTAATAGCTGCTTCTGGAGAATGTCTCCAAAATTACCTATGGGCCCGCAAGTTGCCAGCATCCATAGTCGAATTCGCCGCTGTTGTGGGTACGGGCTCGAGATGCGGTTACCAGCGACTGGAACAACCCAGAGAGGATGGGGCGACTTTGCCGTTCTGCGTTGAGGTTACTGGTCACCGAAGCCTTTGCGCCACGGCGGTTACCAACACTATGTGTGCGGGGTTTACCAGCAGGCCATGGCCGCCAGCAGGAGCCCTGGGGGGGGTTGCTGGCGCCTCTGGGGTTCTCTTTATATCCTATCCTCTTAGGTCCCGGCTTTTGCCTTTTACTATATTTACCTTCCCTTTTTATAGGATATAATTAAGAGCCTCCCCTATTTTAGACAACCTCCTCGAATAGATAATAAAGTAGCCGAATTTAATATTAAAATAGCCTTATATTTATTAGACTAAACGCTCCTCTACCTATTGCCCTACTATCTAGAAGCTAGGGTAGTAAAGGGGTATATTAAGGAGAGTAGGTATAAGAGGCTATAGTTATGCCTAGTAGACCTAATAGTTATATATAAGGAAGCCTGCCTAACTAATATAACTCCCCTAGCCTAAGGACATTATATAGGCTTAACTTAGGTATAGGAATATCCTAATGCCCTCCTTTGGCTAGCTATATGTGGTCACTATACCTATATAAGCCCCTCCCTTGTCCTAATAGATAGACCAAGACATGCATCATAAAATTCCCCTTTCTGTGCCCCTACTTCTTCCACTGTGCTCTCAAGCCCCTGCTTGAGAGTTACCCTCCAATGAGATTGAGTATTACACGCCTGAGAGAACGGTCAGCCAGATACGTCAACCACGAGGTTTTGAAGAGGACCAGGACCAAGCCGCCAATGCGATCCAAAAGGGCATTGATATCATTAAGCGCGAAACAGGCATCACAAATAAGGACATCATCCGCGTCCCGGCCCTCTACCGGATCGAAGACTCCTTTTAGCCCATACCCTGCAAAAATTACAGACAGGGTAAGCGAGACGGAAACTCGTATAGCCAAGACCGCGATGGCAGCCAACGCCATAAGCTGCATCAAGGGCAGAACTCGCCACCACTTTACATCCCAGATGCCGCTGCGCCACCGGGCCGTCTGGGGTGTCGCCAAGAAGACCAATATCCACTGGCCGCCCTTTGCCCTGCCTCGGTGAACGGCCTCGTCATCGGGAACGGCGAGGTTGTTGTCCCCAGTCCATGGGAACCTGTCATTGACGGCACCGACATTTTTGCCGCGGCTGTCAAGGCAGCTTATGCCAAGGCCAACTATAGCGTTACTTTTCTGGACGACTGGGCCTCACACCACGTCCACTTCGGCAATGTCCATTGTGGGACAAACTCAGCTCGTGAGACGACTCGCAAGTCGTGGTAAACGATGGGGGCACACCATGCTTTGACAGTATTACAGATAGGCATGAGTAGGGCTACAAGCCGAGACTTTGCATCCCTTTGGCAGTGGAGGAGCCTCCAGGTCAACCAGTGGAGGTCACTAGCCCCATACTACGTACAATGGCATCAAGATGGCTGGCTAGTCACGGCGGTACGCAGCCGGCCCGCATCGGCTTCTGCTCGCGGCTCTGCTTGTTTCTGCGTCCCGACGGCCTTAAAGTGTTTTTGGCCCTTTCTGCCAGGCGTCCTAGAAGAGCACAGGCAGCTAACACTTTTGACAGGTTTTGTTAGTCTGTTTTGCCTGTGATGACGGTGGAATTCTAGACGACCTAGAGGAGCGCATACAGAGGCCTTGAACGAAGAGCAGACCACACGCGCTCTTCAGATAGAAATTATTGTCATTGAGGTTACTGCAATCGATTAGGCCACTAGCTGAAGCTATTTACATCATTGAGCGGCCATACAAGCTCGTCCGGCTTTACGACTCCAACGCCTCGTCTCCGCCCTTGAGCCTCTCGGCTGCCTTACTCGTCCCATGTTGTTGGCTGCAACGATGATAGTGATTCAATGAACTAGCTTAGCATTTCATTGCCTTCAAGGACCGAAGAAGACAGTTCCGCGACGAAATCTTTGGGAGCCGCGTCAGTATAGGAAGGCATCATCAAGGTACGTCCAACATGTACGCACCCGGGGCATGTCGCCGGGAAAGAAGTCGGCACTTTCCACGTAGTTCTTCGTCAAACTTTATTTTCGTGCTCCTCAATTGCCAAGGTGCAGAGCTCACAGTGAATCTTTGGGCGAGGCGCCTTAAATGATCACGGCAGGTTATACCGTGTGCGTACTCCGTACACGGTGAATCTCCAGTCGCCTTGGGGGACCAGAGTGGTCACGGCAAGTCATGCCTGTGTTGGCGGCATTTGACTGGGGCGTGGCAATCGATCTGGCCCAGAACAAGGCGCCGCTGATCATTGGAATGCGCGTGCGAGGATGGCGTACAGGACGCGCGAGTCGGCGCGGTGGCGCGGCGGGCGGACTAGAGGCCGTTGATGGTGCCGAGGAATTAGAGAGGGGGAAGGGTTTTCAGTTAGCGGGAGATCAACGGCGGGATGTGAACGCGAAAGGGGAAAGAAGAAGGTTTGGCACCTGCAGTCGGTCGACTCGCTCACATCGAGACAGAGGACCACGGTGGCCAGCAGGAAATGATTGTACGTCATGCTGGTCATCATGTACCGGTTGGCGTATATAGTGTACAGTACAAGTTCCCCAACTGGAGAGGACAGCCACCGGTTCATTCCTCTGCGGTCCGGAGCCATGGTGCTTCGACATATCACCTGGGGGTCGGGAACTTACCCGGGGCTGCGGGGATCAATTGTGACTTGAAACCACCCCCGAAGCAAGGAACAGCCGCGGCGCCAAACCGCGTCATCCACTCCCCATGTCGAGAAACCGGAGAACTTCCCTGAACTCGCATCTCATTGCGCTCTCCTGGGCCTACTTGGCCGCAGCGCGCTCGGGCACTTGTCGTTGTGGTTCTGCGAGTTCATCCACGTCCAGGGATAAGGCACGTGATAGGTTGTTGAAATAAGAAGGGGGATCAAGCTCTCTTCGTTAATGGGTACTATCGCAGATGATGCTCTAAACTCGCCGAGTCCACATCTGCGAGACACCTGAGACCAGGGGTGGTCCTCGTCAAAGCCACGACCGAAGAGCCCAAGCACCGAGTTGACGACGAGACAATATGACTGTCGGAGCAGAGCTTCCACAACACCCACAGCATCTTTGCTCCAAATATTTGAGTTTTGCGGTTCAGAGACCAACGAGTTGTGATGCGGAAGAGAGATTGAAGCCAGGAGGAAGCTTCAAACACAGAAAGGGGGCGAGGAGACAGTTACCCGTGACCAGGTAACAGGCGCAAACGCCAATCAAGTGACTGACTGCCGTCTGCCGTGGCAGTTCTTTCTTTCCCAAACGTGGCGGTCAGTTGGCGAACAAGACAAGAGCTGTCAACGATCACACACTTCCAGCTTTGCATGCATGATGAAGCCATGGCCCATCTCTAAACGTCGTCCCGGGCTCCATCCAACACATAAAGAGGGGCGGGCGGCAATGTCAGAAGAGGTGAGGACGGAAGTTGATCGGAAAATGAGAGTCATACGAGGAGGGATACCCAATTATGAGAGCATTGCTATTTGCATAGACATAAATCTCTACTTGTATACAGACCCATTTCCCCCTGCGCTATCCGCCCTTATTATATGGTACGGGAGATTGTATAAATCGCCCGTGCTTAGGTAAATAGTAGGTACAGATCGGGGCAAATGGGGCAGACGGAGCAGTCGGGACGCTTGACGCACGCACTTTTACTGAATTGCGCGATATAGATGCGTGAGAGGACTTCTTCTATTGCAGTGAGCTGTTCTGGCACCTGGTAATAAAAGTACGCCTTGACGATCAAGCACACGGCTCTGCCCAACCAACCGGCGGTAAAAATACGGATACTGACGATAGCGTGCCGCTCTTCGAAGTTTGACGCTTGCTCCCTTACTGGAGTCAGAGGAAATGCACTGGTGATATAGTCAATTTTAGATGGAGCTGTTCTAAAAACAGATCGTCCCCGCTTTGTTCGTCCAGTGGTGAAGACACCAGTTTGTGGCTTAGTAAGCAAATCACTGGAAATCGAGGTTCGATTCCTCGGCATGGCAATCAGCTATGCTCTTCTAATGGTTAGGAAACCAGTTTGTGGAGCTGGCACCAACACTGGAGACCAAGGTTCGATTCCTTGACAAGGCATATCTTTTTATTTCATGATCTACCAAATTTTAATTTGCAATATTCGACGTCTTTCTTCTCTTCTTTCGGGTTTCTTTTATAAAGCTGATGATGATGTGTACTGCAATAATTCTGGCAATTTTATTTATTTCTTACTTTTTAAACCGGTCTATAATACCTAAGACGTATATCGTATATGGGTACTGGCTATTAATTGCCTGGGTTATATCACATGGCTAGTACATATAGATAGAGGCTTAATATATACTTTGAGGGGGACGATTTGCCTTGGTGGTCGCGACGTACCCTGCCTGCATGCACGTAAAGGCACGTGACTTCCTTCTCCCCGACTCAGTTGGTAAACCACTGTCGCGCTGCGAGAGAAGACGACGGCTGATAGCTACCCATACACGCTTCTTGCCCCTCGGAATACCCACATGGTCAAGTGTAGGCGGCAGAGCGGTCAATAGGGCCTCTGACTCATATCATCCAATCTGCCCGAGAGGTGACATACCGCCTTCCTTTACCCCGTAACGCCACCTGCCCTCGCTTCCGAGTTGGCAAGTACAAGAAAGAACAAACCGCCTTGGACTTTCTCTCCCCCAAGACTTTCCCTGGTGTCGTACAGGCCAGGCGAGGCGCCACTAGAGAGCAGATCTTGCGGTCGGAGCGGCTCCCGGGTCTTGCTCGGAGTTGACAGCTGGCTCGCCTTCTCAATGGTAACAAGCTAGCGCTCGCAATCACAGTCGCAACTACTCATGACCCAAGAGACTTGGATGACGGTGAGTTGCATGAAACGGCGGCTTTTGAGTAATCTGAGGCATCTCATTGCCTCCCCGGAGCACCAAAAGATGCGATGACATGGTGAAAGCTTCGAGTCTTGTAAGTTGTTGCCCGCTTCGCTGAACAGACGCCGCCGAAAGCTTCGCCAAAGCAGAGTCAGAACTACTCGGGCTATCGACCGAGAGCCACCGGTCGGAAACCTCAAACGAGAGCCTCGACCGGAGGCCAGCCACCGATAGCTTCACGAAACGGTAGCATCGGCCAAGAGCTTTGGTTACGGACTAGCGACCATGCAAAGGCACAGACCAGATAGAGCCATCGGCCAAACAGGGCCACCGCGCGAGAGTGATCAAGCCAACGACTGAGATACTTCAATTGAGGCATACTCGTTTCAACCCCGTTTGCGACTTGGTTCCGGCCTGTGGAACTCGAGCTCCCAGAACCAAATCGTGCGCTGCGCAACACTCTTCGTCGTCAAAGTTTGAGCACTTCTCCCAGCTCCCACAGCGCTTTGCAAAGACTCGGCCGCCTGTCTGCACAGCCCTTCCCTTCTGTTCCAAAGCCACACGTGGCCCGGGTCCCTCCCGTCGCGGAGCTAATGGCAGCCGCAGCTCCTTCGCTTCATGAGCAGAAAAGCTTTGCGAAGGTGCCCGATCTCTTCCTTCTCCCGACCGCGGCAGCGCTTGCAGAGACCCAGCGCCCCAGAAATCCACATGGTGAATCGTCTTTTCTTTCCAACGAAGACGGTCATGGGGAACAAAGATTGGTGCACGTGGTTGGAGCGGTCGGCGTTGTGGTGGACATCGGTGGCTCGTGGTGCTCGTCAAAGGGCCTCTTCCCGTCCGCGACGGCCCAAGCGGGTACATGGCTGTTGAAGCCATGCAGGCAGCAACAGACCCAATCGGGAGTGAGAGATGCATCTGGCTTGGCCTCGAGGCTCTCGTCCAGGGCACGATCGATCACCACCTGGTTGTACGACACACTCTCTGTACAAGGCCCATAAGTCGCTCTCTCGCCTCGAGCCGGTGCTGGCCAGATCGACCGCCACGCCCCGATCAATGCCGCCAACACGCATGACTTGCCGTGATCATTCTGTGCGAGTTGCCTAGAGAGTCGCAAGCAGGCCCCTCGGCGATCAGGGCTGCCAGCTCTTCATGCTCACCTCGAACTAGCGTTGAATGTCTGCCTCGGCCTAGGTCGACCCCGACTGCTCTTTGGTCTTGTGGTCCGACATACTCGGCGCGGGGCATCAACAAGAGGGCGCGGATGGCTACACTCTGCTGACTTTTGGGTTCGTATATTCCGTGGCAGACGTATTTGATCGTCTCAGCATCAAGCTCGGGACATACAAGGCCTCGCTTGGACAAGCCATCATTGGCCTCCGTTCCAAGAGCCTTACATTTCGCCGGCGGAAGCTCGACCCGGGGAGAGAACAGTCGGATCATGTGCCTGCTCCTGAACCCTCTCTGCCCGATTTCCGTGCGAAGCTGTCTCACGTCGGCGAGCGTATTCACAGGGGCGCTCTTTATCTGGTCGAACAAGGCAAGCGTCAGACAGAGAGGGCAGAGGGGCACCCGTTGGCTGCAGCAGTAGATCAGTCGCCGGTTCAGACAAAAGATGCGTCAATGCCATGGCCTACCTAGTGTTGCATTTGATGCTCTGCAGGGGAGGATGCTCCGGCATTGACTAAATCCAAATACACGGGCCGCGGCGTTTGCGAGCCGACGGCATGTCCGTGTGGGGAAGCAAGCAAAGGCCGAACCCGGGCGGAGCAGGCGGGTGCTCGGGTCGACCAGGGATGATTTAAAAAGCCGGCGAGCCCACCCACAGCCGAGGGACGATGACGCAGGCGGCGATGGAGGCCCACATGTTGGCTTGGCGAATGCGCGTGCCATTTGCAGGCCCATCTATAATGGGACGGTGTGGGAGTGAGGAATGGCGGCCTGGTTCTGCCGCGACAGTCTGGTCCGAAAGTCTCATGGTTGGTCTGCATTGAATTGCGTGCGCAGCGTTTAGGCAAGCAAGGGTTGGTCGACGCCAAGGAGCCTCCGACGGGGGACCGGCACACAAGCGGGCGCAGGCCCAAGCGGCGGCGGCAACACAAAAAAAAGCAGCCAGCGGCGGGCTGGGCAACGAGACACGTTTTGCACAGGCGCCCGAGACAAGGCAGCCAGAAACCCACGGGGCGGCCGATTATGGAACACAGAGGGAGGATGGCTTGGCTGCACCAACAGGGCTGCGTCGAGGGCAAACGAGGCTGGCGAGGCAGAGCAAACGGCCCTGCTTGACGATTGATTTGCCGACGCCTGCAGCGCGCCGGACCATTGTTGTACTGGGGCGGGACCGACGAGGTTCTGTCCATGGTCCCAAACGACATGCCCAAGAGACGAGAGACGAGAACCAACCACCCGCGGATCAGGTATTAGTGCCATTCCGCCAGATTCTAGCTCGGTTCGTGCCTAGGGCATTCTCCACGGCAGCGGTGCAGGTTGGTCAGCACCCTTTTGTTCGTGCTCGTGCTCGTGCTCTACAGTATGTATTAGTGCATGGCGTGGGCAGAGAGCGGCGATGCTATTCTCAAAGCTGCCTACCCTACCAACCTGCTAAGCTACCACTTGGCCTCTGCTGGGTCTGTACGTGTATCAATTTTGGCACAGCGCCGTATGCCCCGCCGCATACCCGGTGCACCCCCCTGTAGGCACAGTACGACACTGACTACTCCCAGCCTGGATGCCGCCAACGCATCCGTGGATGGCCATCTTTTCTCTTGGCCCTGGTGTGCGTGCTTCATGTACGGCCAGGGGCACATTCAGCATACAACATACACCGATGCAGTCACCATGTAACTGATGGTGCCGCAACGCTCTTGCGGTTGCCGTGTGTCCCTTGCGTCTGCCAACGAAAAGTCGGGACGGGGGAGGGGGGGGTGTTTGTCAAACAAAGCCTACCTCAGAAAAGCAATGGGCGGCTACGGCGCGTGCAAAGGCAGTCAAACCGTGGGGGGAGAGCTGGAGTTGCGAGCCTGACTGCCGGGATGCCCAACGCAAGGAGTCCATCGCTTAAGTTACACACTACCTACCTAATAAGGGGGGGTTGGCCTGTTCGGGGCGGCCGACGAGCGCCGGGGCGGCTTTTGCGCCAGAGACGGACCGGTTTGCCTCTGCCGAGCAGCGCCACGTTAGGTAGCGGCGTGCTGGAGGTGTTGCAGTGCTCAAACACGCCAGATGAAACCGACAGAGCACCTATGCACGTTGCAAGTCGCCGGATCATGTGTCTCTCTGGTGTCTCTGACGACGCATTCTCCGCGGGCGCCTCGTGGCAGGTGGGATTTCATCCCCGTACCTCACCCGTCTCGTAATACGGCTGTAGACGGCCAGCGCCTCCTACATGGGCCGCCGCTAGTAGCAGAAGAGACAGCCGAGGCACGGAGGGTAAGCACCACCAGGCAAACAGCCTGCCTGTCCTGCTGAGGTGAACCAGGCGGCGCCGCTTTCGGAGGGCTCCCGGTGTTGCGGACAGCTGGAGCCAGCCCACCGGCCCCCGCTCGGGGGCACTGTATCCGCACCTGTGGGCAGGCAGCTTTAGCACCTGCAGGGCCCACGCACGGGCAGGCGGCAATGGCGTCGTCAACAACAACAGAATCAAATCAAGCCAAACAGGCCCAGGGTCCTACGCATCCGACCCCTTGCTGGGCTGGGCAGGGCGGCGCCAAGTGATGACCGACATTGGCACTGTATGCGTAAATAAATGTCTTGTTACATATTACTTGTGCTCCATAGCAAGCAGGTCCTCAGCATGTCCTTGGCAGGTCCTTGGGCCTCTTGTTCCCTCCTGTCTCTTGGGTCATTTTTTCTATGCAAGTTTCTACGGATACGCCATCATCCGTGGCCACGAGACGAAGAATAGTTTGAGAATAAGGAAACAAAGACAAAGGTACCCCGTAACTTGTTGGCGCCACAGAGACCGAAGCAAACGAGAAGCCACCAAGGCCAAAAAAAATAGAGGCCGAGAATGATGACAATAACCGCATTCCCGGGCCCCAGCTACGCCCGACGGCGATTCCAGGCGCTTCGATAGCAATTTCAGGCAAGGTCCCTGCGGGAGCCACGTCCTCGCATCTCCACATCTCCACCACAGGAAAAAGGGGGCGTGAGGATGGATGGTCCTGATTCATCGACTCTTTGTTTTTTCCTCTATTCGTGGCCCATTTTAGCTTCTTGCTCTCCCGTCATACCACCTTGCACGCTGTAGCCCAACAAGTCTCACGCCCCCCCTCCCCTTCTCCCCCCTTGTCAACAGGCGTATATAAAAGGGTTGACGGGTCCGCTGCCCGATGCACTCCGTTTTCTCCTAGCTCCGTTTCCCCGTTCACTTGATCTCGCCCTCGCCGCACCCCCTTGGAACAAGGCCGTCGACCGTGTGTCCTCCGTCTATATAACACCGGGGAGTCTGCTCGCTGCTCCCGTTCCGCCCCTTGTCCCTCTGCCTCGTCCTCCACGACGAACGCCAACCAGCGCGCTGCCCCGAGACGACAAGACGCCACCCTCGCTTTGACGCCCCACTGCACTCTTCTCTCGCCGACTTTCACCTGCAGAACAACAACTCCAACCCGCCGCCGCAACCGCCCGTCATGGCTCCCAAGAAGATTCGCTGCAATGCCAAGGACTGCAAGGAGGCCGCCCAGCGCATCATCGGCGACTGCGGCTTCTGCAAGGGCCACTACTGCGGCAACCACCGCTTGTTAGAGGACCACAAGTGCAGCGGCCTCGAGGACGTACGTGGCACTTGACTTTTGGCCCCCCTTTTCGCCGCTAACGTCTCCCTGTGTGGCCAGTGCAAGAAACAATCCCACGAGCGCAACGCAGCGCAGCTCGAGTCCGAACGGACCCAGGTCATGCGCGTCTAACACACTGCTATTTTTCGCTCTTCCCGCTTGGCCGACGATGCCGCGGGCCTCAGTGCGCGAGCCTTCGACTACCACTGCCGACACGCACGCCACGGCGAGAGCCTCAACCAACCATTCACGAACCATGATTCGACGATTTCCCCCTTGGTCTCCTTTTCTTTTCTTCCAGCCATCTGGACAGGCTGCTGGTGCGAGCGTGGCTTTGACTTGACTTGCCTAGAGGCGCGATGACCGCCGCTGTATTCTACACTACTTTTAGGTCGGGGCGATCGCGCGGCGTTCGGGGTTACTCTTGGGATGCCTCGATATCTTGAAATTTGAATCAATCTTCTGGTCCCGTGCTTTGACTGCATCTTCTCTTGGTCCGACTATATGACGGCTCGAACGCTGACCCAGACACTTCATGGGTCCCCGCCCTAACCGCAGATTTGACTGGTCCAACACAGATGGCCGGAGCTTCATCACTGCTGCCGTTTCATCCCCGACGCAGCGTCGTGACCGCCGGACCGTGATAACGTCTCTGGCGGCGGTGGATTGGCTCAGCACCGGGGAAACGGGGGGGGGGGTAGGCGGGCTTGGGTTCCCGTGGTAGGGTACTGATGCATCCGAGTCGCGTGTGGTTGGTGCGTCGCTCTCGCACCCAGCTGTGCCATCCCGGTCCCGCATGTGGGAGCGGATGCAAGGCGGGCAGCCGGGCCATCACGGGCTCGTCTTGAGCACTGCGTCTATCTGGTTGACCACGTCCTCCTTGACCACCGTCTCGGTCGTCTGCACCTCGACGCCCCCGCCACCCTCGACCTTGGCCTCGACCTGCGTCTTCATCGTGCGACCTGCGACCACCTTTTTGCGCTCGGCAGCCTTGCAGAGCCCCTCGAGGCCGAGATCGCAGTCGCCGCAGCGCCGCCCGACGGGCCGGCAGATTTCCTGGCCAAAGCCCACCAGCAGCCAATTGATTTCTCGCCACCTGTCCCGGGGCAGCCACGATTCCAGGGCCAGCCGCGTCTCCTCGGGCGTCTTGGTCTTGTGCCACCCCCATAGGTTCGTGATTCGGTGCACATGCACGTCGACGCCGATGCCCAGGGTAACGTCCCAGGCTGCCGACATGCACAGGTAGGCCATCTTGGGCCCGACCCCGGGCAACGACGTGAGGCCCTCGATGCTGTCCGGAATGTCGCCGTCCCACTTGTCGCGCAGTATGACGGCCGCCTGCTTGAGAAATCTGCGTGTAGAATGTTCTGGTCAGCCGCCGCCCATCTGTGTTTGCCAGGGTACCTCGTACTTGGTCTTGTTGTTGTGAAAGCCAACCGCCCAGATGAGCTGGTTCAGCAGTTTAGGATCGACGGCCAACATGTTGTCGAGGTTCAGACCCACGGGCGCGCCAGGCTCGTGCGCAGGCAGCTCCGTCTTGAGCTTGTGCATGGCCACTGCATTGACCGTGTCCTTTGTCTGGCTCGAGAGCATGAGCGCCACGAGCGTGTGGAACCGCTGCTCCCTGGGCGACGCTTGCTTGTCCGCTAGCCGCTCGCAGCCCATGGTGTCCACGGCCGCCCCGTGAGCCAAGCCCCCGGGGGCTCGCATCCGCTCGACGGCCCTGTACATGGCTTCCCAGTCAGACGGGGGCGTCACTGTCGCCGCTCCGGTATCGGGGTCGGTCGTCTTGCGCGCCGGCTTGCGCGCCCGGCCCTTGGTCTTGGAGGGTGGGGGCGGCGCAGACACGGCGACGAGGGCGGCTTCGACGGCTTCCGACTTGACGGCCGAGTCGTCGAGAGCCCGCCGGCGCCGCTTGGCCGGAGGACCGATGCCATCCTCGATGTCGGGGGGCCGCGTGCCAAGCTTGCTCACTGGCTCTGTTGCGGCGAGGGCGAAGCGGGCCAGGGATCGGGTGGTGCGCCGGGGCGGGGATGCTGGGCCTGCGACGCGGTCAAAGAGCTTGGACGTATCCTTTGAGATCCTCGAGGAGCGCATTGTGAAACTGCAAAAGATGGCAGCGAGATGCCGGCAATGCCAGACGAAACGCGGGCCAAGATTAACGGTGGCGTGTCACTGCAAATAGCGCGGCGCTGATTGGTCAGCTGCCTCCCCCCAAACCCCCATTCTCCCATTTCTCAGGCCTGAGGCGTGCGGCCGGTCCTCGCCGTTGACTCCCGGATCATCAAGCCCTGTTGTTGTTCATGCCCCAAGCGGGGGGTTTGGATATTAAAGAAGTGTCAAATGGGGCATCGGCAATTGCCGGTCGAGGCGGGTGAATCCGGACAAAGTCAACATCACCGAGCCGACTGCGAAAGGACGAAGCACCGGAATCGGCTCTTCAGGCTCTTCAGGCCTTTCAACGCAGAACCTGCATTGGCAGACGAATACGATACAAATGGCCGAGAGCTGACAGGGAGGTCTTAGGTTGGCAACAAGCAGCGTCGCCCACGATGCCGCCAGGAGCGCGGCAGCGCACAAATCACCGACTGGCTACATACTCAAGAGCTCTCGTCAACATCGCAGCACCGTCCGTCGCGCACAGAATCCCCTCTCAGCATTTGGACGCGACCGAGGCACACTCGACGAGACACCTCTTGCCCTTGGGCGACATGACAAAGTGGTTCTCCTGGGCCATGTCGTCGTCGCACATGCCCTCGAGCGTCGACATCTTGGCATCCGGGAACGCGAGGAAGAAGCCGGCAGTGGCAAAGCGAAGCTCCGTCATGGCGAGATGCTGTCCGAGGCAAACTGAGAGGCCGTGTTAGCCGCCATTCGCACCTTATCGCCGAGAACCAACTCACTCCGCGGCCCGCGCCCAAAGGGCATAAATGCATCCTTCATGGCCTTGGATGGTGCCTCCCACCGCGTCGGATCAAACTCGTCCGGGCTGGGAAACGTCGCCGGATCGCGGTGCAGCGTCCACGCCTGCGCGCACACTATCGTCCCTTGCTCGAGGTAGTGCCCGCATATATGGGCGCCGCCGGGAGGCACTTCGCGCGGCAGACCCGACGGACCGGCAGTGTACAGCCGCAGCGACTCGTTGATGACCTGATTCAAGTAGACCAAGTCTCTTAGCTGAGTGCCGTCATACTCCTCCGGCAGCTTCCGCAGCTCCTCGACCAGCGCTCTCTGGACGTCAGGCCGCCGGCAGACGGTCCACACCAGAAACGCCAGCGTGTTCGCAGTCGTGTCGCTGCCCGCGATGATGAACAGCTCGGCCTCGTTGCGTATCTCATCATGGGTGAGCTTCTCGTCCTGCTCGGCCCGGAGGAGGTTGGTGAAGAGCGTCTGCGGCGCGTCTTCTGGGGCTGATTCGACGAGACTCTTGTACTCGTCGACGAACCCGCCTGCCAGGCGTGTCTGGCGCCGGCTCGATTCGACGGCCTTGTCGACGAACGGCAGTGGGACAACCCGGGCCAATGAGGTCAGGAGTGGGAACGCCGCACGGATGGCGGCCATGAACATGACGGATTCCAAGTGCTGGGCAAACTCGTTTTTCTGCAAGCACCCGTCGTTAGCCAAGACGAGTGTGACCGTCGGCCATCACGTACCTGACCGCGCTCCAGCATCTGAAACGGCTTGCCAAACGTCAACTCGCTAATGACGTCCGAGGCCAAAAAATACCACCACTTGAGGACGTCGGCCGCGCCTCTGGTCCTCATCTCGTCCCGCATCTTGTCAATGGCCAGGTTCGCCCGGGCTCGGATCAGCCCGTGAAAGACGCGTAGACTGGATTCGGAGATGGGACCCGCCAGGAGCCGGCGGTGCCTCTTGAAGAACTCGGGATCGCTGGTGTTGAACATGGTTTCCACACCAATCGTGCTGAATTGCTTGTACCAGTCCGCTTTGCGAAACGTCTCCTTTGTAGTGTATATGGCTTTGACTGAGTCCATGTCCGACACATCCACCTCGGTGGGGCCAAGTCGGACGATGGGCCCTGACAGCCGCAAGGCCGGCGTGAGCTGGCATCTCTAGGCGAGGCCCTGGGCTCAGACGCGACTCACCGTATTGCTGGTGCAGTGAGTGCACATACTGACACCTCGTGCCCTTGAGCCAGTGGTATGTCAGCACGAGGCTCGTCCATTTCGAGAGCCACGGTCCTGGCAGCCGCGATGTCGAGTTTCGAAGCACGCAAAACGCTTTCTGAGCATCCACATTGGTCAGCGTCATGGCGGCCCCGTTACGGCACACACTGGCAACTCACATAGCTCACGGCCACCAGCAGCGAGGCTCCGAGGACAAGATACACGTTATCGCCAAAGTGTTTGCTCATGGTTCCGTACTGACAGAGAGCTGGATCGCTCCCTCGGCTGTCTATCTAGCTTGTTCTGCTTCGAATCGGTTCAGCTCTCTATTGGTGAAGAGAAAGCGTGAACCCGTGCCCCGGGACCGCAGTCGTACGAAGCAGAGACATGGGGTCTATATACGCGTAGAATGCGCATGCAGCCGGAGGACCTATGGCACACAACGATGGCAGGCGGCAGGATTCCCCGTAATGAGATGCGGGTGCGTGACAACGTAGCCGGCCATCCTCGCCGTCTCACGCTGCGTGCTACCCTCTCCGCACTCTTTGCCGACAAGATATCCGCGCAGTCCGAGCCTATCAGCTGTCTTGTTTTAATAACCTGTCTCTTCCGGGCTTGGTGAGGAGAGAAGACGCAGGCTTCCCCGGTTGCCCGGCTCGGAAATGCGGGCCCAGGTCGTGAGTGTTTGCTGATAACGAGGTGGTGGGCCCCATGTCATACGAACATGGGTGTTCGTCTGACATGCGCGTTGGCTGTCTGCATGTTTGCCAAGCAAGTTGGCTGCCACGTTCTTTTTTCGTTTTCAGCACCATCGGAGACCGGGTAATCGAAGGCCGAAGAAGTCTTCCTGTTGGCTGGGCGTCTGCGTTGTTGGAGATGGATGACGAGAAGCACTTTGCGGCTCCAGACACGGCACGAGCGGAGAAGAGGCAGGCTTCCTCGGCTCACAAATGCGGGTCCAGGGCTTGAGTGTTTGCTGATTAGGCCCACGGAGAAGACGATCTACCAGCGATTCGTGTTGCCGATGCAGAGGATCAGACTGGCGCAATGCGCGATGCATGCCGTTCAAGCTTCGGCGCCGTGAGCTGGTCATCGTCACGGATTCCCAGTCAGCACTGCAAGCAATAGATTGGCCGAGGTAGCAGTCCGGACAATGCTCGACTCGACAGATGTTTGAGTGGGAAGGAAAAGGGGCAAGGCAACTGAGGAAGGGCACACGCCGGAAAAGCATACCAACCAGGTCCGATCGACGATTACCAGGTTGACGATGGCCAGACCATCAGATGAAGCTCCCAGAAGGCGTATACAAAACTTCGGAAAGAATAGGCAAGGCAGACACACTATAAATAGTCGGTTCTGACTGACATACATACTGTTTGACCGTACAGGGCACTGTTAATCGTATCGTGCTGACCAACGTCAACTTGCATATGCTTTACTGGACAGACGATGAAATCTTAAGCAGCACTCTGCTCGATTCCAGGCAGTCTCTATCTACGTTGGTGCATGTTGCCATCGACGTCCAACTTCAGCTCATTCAGTATCCGATTGACCTCGGCTGCTGTAAGACAGCTTTCACTGGACGAGCTCAGGAGAGGGAGGATATGAGAACTCACGAGAAGGTCTGTTCACGCCATTTGTCGAAGATTTAAAGGCGCTCATCACTCCTTCGGTGCCGAAAAGCAGCAGAGGCTGTAAATGACCGTCACTCTGGGCAAGAGCGTCATTTTCCAAGAGCAATATGGTGGCTTCGACCCCTGATCCACGTTAGCAGGAGCCTCCAAAACTGTCGTAGATAGGCCTACCTTTCTTCATTCGCCCATGGAAGAACTTTCACTGGTGACCGAGGGCGAGCAAACCACTTTCGTTGCTCCTGTGAATCGTGTCCAACCGAGTCATCAATCACTGCTCTGATATTTCAACACCCGGCGACCTTTATCTGCCACTCCAGGTTGTACATAATGAGACGCCAAGCCATCCGACTGGTATTAGTAATTAGGTATCACGCAATAATGCTGCATCCAAGAAGCATAAACTTATGTAAGACATTTCGCATGGCTTGTGTAGGCTTACACAAAAGGCAGAAAGGTTACTTAGGGGCCTCCCGCCTCATGAACGTACAAAAGAAAGCGTATCGTCACTCCTTTCGGAACATTCAAATAAATACCCTCCTTCAACCGTTTCAACTTGGAGCGAGAACAATAAAGCGTCCCCTTGAATGACTCAATGGGGGCGGTGGGCTTTCCATAATCTTCTGTATAACAAGATTCTCGCTCAGATCTCGCGATTCTCTAGTCCCTACTACCATTACTTAAGGGGAGAAAGGAAACATTCGCCGCTATGAGCACCATGCCGTACTTGACTGATCCTCACGTACTGCAATGAGCTGGAGTGGAGACTATGTCGACACAATGCATGGATGCGGACCAGCGGGCCGCTTCTCCTGACTCCGGCCGACCGGCGTTACATGTACGACCGTGCAATCTCGCTGATGGAATGTTCTTACGCCGTAGCGATGTCAATGCAGTCGGGTTCTGGGATTGCGCATAACTTCACACGATATAAGGATCCTACCACCGATTTCCCGCGTCTCAGACTACCGTGATAACTCGACGACTACGTCAACCTTGGCAACGGGGTTCTCCCTATAATCTACTACTCAACATTAGCGACATGAGTCACTAGGAGATTGAGGAAAGCTTCGACAGGTGTAAATGCAGTCGCAGATGTCGCTCGAATGACCCTGAAGATATCCAGGCCCTTTTTGTCCGGGGACACTTGGGAACGAATCAATTTATATACCTATCATTATAAACCATGATCTGGATGCCTACAAGAGTTCAACCGGTGAAAAGGTTTGATGCACGTCTCGGAAACACGATCCCTTAACGTACTCTGGATTTACCAGCATTTACTCACGGATTTGCACGAAAGCTATGGCGAACAATACCTGTCGCATGAGGCAGGTGCCCTGCAAGTCGCTACATGTCACCGAATTCTAACTGTTTATACGCAGTATCCCCGCCGATGAGACCAAGGCGCTGAAGTGCGGTCTGTCCCTGTGCGAAGTTATTTGGTTTTTGTGTTGATCCTTCGTCATTGTCACGTCGACTATTGCCCCTGGTATCTATTAAAAGGGGCCTCTATCGAGCCTTCCGGCCGCTATGTTGTATCGAATCAAGGTGGCGGCATATGATTAAGAAGGCGATTATTTGCGTCCTGTAAGAGTGAACTGCGCTACTCGCGAGCCAGGCCACTGGGTCCGTGGCTATTGAATGGAAGTCGATGATCACATCAGTCTGCGTGTGTTGGTCTTTCCGTGCTGTTGGACGGATGAGATTTAAAGGGAAGAAAGGGAACGCAGTGTTGACCTATCCCTATGAAACCATGGACGCGCAATCTCGAGATCAGTTGGGCGAATGACGTCAAATGATGGTGGCCGTGTCGCAAGAATGAGTGCAAATATTGTTATGAGCCAATTGGGCAGCCTGGGTCCTGGCCATCAAGGTCCCCGACCGCGAGTACGTATAAATAGACTTCACGAGCACTTCAATCACCTTGTCTCTGCACGACGGATGAACAGATTCTTGTGCAGCCATATTCATTTCGCATTGGGACCGCCCTATCGGGCGTGTGCCGTCTCCTCATCTACAACTTCCTCATGTCGACGACCGCACGGATGCAGTCTCCGCCCTTCATCGTTTCAAACGCAGAGTTCATCTCGCCCAGCGTCTTGCGGTGCGTGATGAACTCGTCTACCTTGAGCGCGCCGTTGAGGTAGTCGCTGACGAGGTCCCTCATCTGGGAGCGGCCCTTGATACCGCCAAAGGCACAGCCCTTCCAGACGCGGCCCGTGACGAGTTGGAACGCTGCAGCGACGTGTTAGCTCGGCAAGACGCAAGAGGGACGCGCAAGGACGCAGCTTACGCCGGGTGGAAATCTCCTGGCCGGCGGCGGCGACGCCGATGATGATGCTCTCGCCCCAACCCTTGTGGCACGCCTCGAGGGCGGCCCGCATGACGCTGACGTTGCCCGTGCAGTCAAAGGTGTAGTCGCAGCCGCCATCCGTCATCTCGATGAGCTTCTCAACAATGGTCTGGTCCTTGAGGTCGTTGGGGTTGACAAAGTGCGTGGCGCCAAACTTCTCGGCCCAAGCCTCCTTGGCCGGGTTGACGTCGACGACGATGATCTTGCCGGCCTTGTTGATGACGGCGCCCTGCACCACCGACAGTCCGACGCAGCCGCCGCCAAAGATGGCCACGCTGGACCCTTCGTCGACCTTTGCCGTGACGCGAGCGGCGCCGTAGCCAGTCGTGATGCCGCAGCCCAGCAGGCAGGTGCGGTCCATGGGGGCGTCGGGCTGGACGGCGACGACGGAGATATCGGCGACGACGGTGAACTGGGAAAAGGTCGAGGTGCCCATGAAGTGGAGGAGGTCCTTGCCCTTGCACTTGAAGCGGGTGGTGCCGTCGGGCATGACGCCCTTGCCTTGCGTGGCCCGGATCTTGCCGCAGAGGTTGGTCTTGCCCGACTTACAGAACTTGCACTCCTTGCACTCGGGGGTGCTTGAGGGGCGAGAGTCAGCACAGGCCCCGAGAGCGAGATGCCAGGGAAGGCGAAGCGCCATACTAGAGGGCAACGACGTGGTCGCCGGGCTTCACGTTAGTGACGCCCTCGCCGACCGACTCGACGATGCCAGCACCCTCATGGCCGAGGACGATGGGGAACGCGCCCTCGGGGTCCTTGCCCGACAGTGTGTATGCGTCTGGCCGAGGTCAGGATCTGTGGCTTGTGGTTGCGAGGGCCTCGACCGTCTTACCAGTGTGGCAGACACCGGTGTAGTAAATCTCGATGCGGACCTCGTGGGCCTTGGGGGCGGCGACTTCGACGTCCTCGATGCTCAAGTCCTTTCCGGCCTCCCAGGCGACGGCGGCCTTACAAGCGATTGGCTGCCGGGAGTTGGAGGTCAGCGGACCGTGTGCCATGACGGCTCGATCGTCGTACCTTGCCTGCGGTTGAGGAGGCCATGACTGGCGACGACGAAGATGGACTGGACGCGGGTGATGAGCAGCTGAGGAATGACGCAGGTTCGTGAGGAACAGAAGCTCAAGGGATGAAAATTTGCTTTGGTGGTGCGGACGTGTTGGAGGCTCTCTGATGAGTGACGACAAGATGCCGATTGCCGACACGCCGTTAAGGTACCCTGTACCCCGCTGCGGAGCCTCGTTCCTCTTCGACCGTTACCCGAATCTTTGTTTTAAAGCCGGCTTCTAATTAGTTAATGACTCTGTTCACTCGCCAGGAAGTCAGTTACGGAGACATCACGGCGTTCGCCGTCGAGGAGCTCTCGAAGGGAACCTGGTTGGCCAAGCCCATTCATTTGCCGCCATGACGTTTAAGCTGGACGAGATGATGGGTGCTGCTGCGAGCCCGCGGCAGGTCGTGCACCGGATCAAGTATAGCACCGTGGTGCTGGCTGCATTAACATCAAGGAGCACCGGCTCTGGAGACTGGCTCATTGTCGAGCCATCGATAGGGGCATCCTTGGTTGGAACCTGAGGTATCCGTAGGATGATGCTGTCTGAAAACAGTTGGCTGAATGGTACGTACCTCATGCAGCGGCGGCGGTGGGCCCGGGTAAACACCGGGTCGCATCCATACATCAACGCAGCTCTCAATCCAGGCAAACAAACGAAAGAAAATATCAAGACGCGCTTCTCCCGCCCAGAACTTGCCATGAAGAGCTATCCATTGCAACACACCACGACGCACCACATCGGCCGCACCCTCCCTGGAGCTGTCCGCGCCCCATGCACGACGGCGCTTGCGCGTTGAGCGTGTGTGCCATCGTTGCCTGCGTCCCCAAGAGCTCCAGGCCCCCTGCCAGGTCGCAACGTACGAGTCGACGCAATGGCGCACCGATTCATCGTCGACTCGAGTCCCCCCTCGAGCCCCGCGCCCTCGACTCCTGATAGAAGAGCCCGCCATGGTCTTGCCTATCCCTCCCTCCCCGACAATCCCTCCACCACGCCCGCAGGGCCCATCCCTTCCTCCGTCGCCTCCTACACCCCGAGCGGCGCACCCTCGGACCAATACTTGGGAAGCTCCATGATGCGCGGCATGGCCGCCAGCAAGCCCTTGTCCTTTGGCTCCCAGTCCCAGGCCGGCACTGGGAGGAGCTTGTTTGGCCGGAGCGAGACCCCCAATGCCTCGCTTGGGCGCTCCGTTCGAGCCAGGGAACGACAGCCTTCTGCCCTGAGCAGACAATTCATCGTCGACGACCAAGATCCGGATCAGCATCAGCAAGACGAGGACAGCGAGCCCGAGCTGCCCCCGCACCCTGGCAGTCTGTTCCGAATGTCGACCGGCCCCTCCAAGCGAGACGAGGACCCTACCCACGCCCAAGATGTCGACGACTTCGAAGCCGAACTCGAGAAGTACATTGACCAAGACGTGGATGCTGAAGCTGCGAACGGCCAAGCCTCTAGCGTCGAATCACTGTCACGGCAAGGGTCCGAAGAAGGAGACATGTTTCTGAACATGCGACACGATGACCGACCGTACGGGCAACCAATCATCGGCCAGGATGAGGAGGACATGATAATGCTCAACACACCCGCGGCCACATCCAGGGTCCGAAAGGAAGCAGAGGACATCTTCCGTAGATCGTCAGCCCGGCTGGGAGGGCTCTCCAAGAGCCGCGAGTTCCAGTTTGCCACCATTGCCAGGGACTTTTACACGCGACAGGACCCGGCCCGGATAACCGAGTCACCGGACCTCATCCTTAAAACAGAGGCCCTGGTTTGCAGGCTCTACGAAGAAGGCGTCGGCACCGAGGACGATGCCGAAAAGATGGACAACTCCCTCGCCAACGTCACTTGCCTGCTGACCCAGCTCTGGAACGACTATGTGGATAGCCTGCCTCATCCGGAAGGCGAGGACCTTGCTACTGTTGGGCCCGGCTCGCAGGCCGAGCCCTTTGAAAAGGCGGCCTTTGTCGCCCAGCTGATGCTGCGCATACACCACACCAGATTCGACAACGACGCCAGGGATGACAAGGCACCCCCGCCACCCGAGGTGCTGTTTGACTGGCTGCAAACTAACCATAACCTGTACCCCGACCAGGTACGCGAGATTGCTCGGCACAAGCCAAGTCCCGCCTGCCATGGCTTGTTCTGGCAGTCGCTGCGTTGCGCTCTGCTCCGTGGTGACGTGCACGGGGCATCTCAGTTGCTCCACAATGCCGGCTGGGAGAATGTCCGCAGAGGCCCCCATGGCGACCAGACCTACACGGGCAAGGCCCTGGAAAACATCCGGCGCGTCGCGGACGCGACTGGCGACATGCTCGAGCAGTGCCCCGCGATGAGATCAGACTGGGACATCCGCAACAGCACTTGGACGCTGTTCCGTGTCCAGGCAAGGGGGTCGCTCGACAAGCTTACGCTCTTTGCCGAAGGCAACCTGGACGGCTCGGCCGCGCGAGGGCCCCAATCCATGTCGGCTATGGCGCGCAAGGCGTCGAGCCAGATCCCTTGGGACGTGTACGAGAATTTGCAGGTTGTGTATGGCATCGTCCTCGGCAAACGCGAATCCATTATGGACACGGCGCAGGACTGGTGCGAGGCCACGGTCGGCCTATTTGGCTGGTGGGATGACGGCAGTCAGCGTCCGAAGAATCTGCGGCTGTCACAGACTCTCGGGTTCGGGGCATCAACGTCCGGGATGGCACGTTCAGACGACTATTGCGACCGTTTGGCTTCGGCCTTCCACCTCGTGCTCCGCTCCGACATGACGCCGAACCCAATCAATCCTGTCGAGGTCGCCATCGCATCTGCGTTCGAGGGCAACGTCGATGCTGTCATTGGTTGTCTGCGAATGTGGTCTCTGCCCGTGGCCTCGTCAGTGGCGGAGATTGCCTCCCTCGGGAAGTGGCTCCCCCCTACGCAGGCCTTGAAACCGCTTCTGACTGATGCCTTGGACATGGAAGACCTGGCTCTGCTTGGCGTTACACCACCATCCCAAGACGAGATTGAAGGCATCAAGGACACGACACTGGTTCTGTATGCGCGAGAGCTCGCTGGCGTTGATCACCTATCCCCCCAAAGAGACGGATGGGAGATGGCCATTCAGGTGCTTGGCAGGATGGACTTGCCGGAGAAAGCGGATGAGACGGTAGGCGAGTTGCTCCGGGACCTACTGGAGACACTGGACGAGAACTCGAGCACGACTGTGGACAGGATGTGGCGGATACTCAACGACCTCGGCATGGTCAAGTACGCCGAAGAGACGGCAGAGGTCAGTGACAGACCCGGGCGTGACGCTCGACTTTCAAACTTGTGGTTATAACTGACAGTGTCTAGACATTCGCCCAAATCCTGTCCAAGGAATCCCACCGATATGGCGAGGCCCTGTGGTACTTTGCCCTGGCGCATCGCGTGGACAGTGTTCGCGACGTCCTCAACCTCCTCATCGCTTATTCTCTGGTGCATTCGACGGCATATCCAGCGGAGAAGGATCTCGACGAGGAGCTCAAAAGCCTTTTGCGAAAGCGTACCGACACCTTGGAGATGCGTGCCAAGCAAGACTTGGAGGCGGCGCAGTTGCTGGGGCGAATGCTCAGCGGCTATGCCACGCTGCGCAAATTCTACGAAATCAGGGACGGCGAGAAACTGGAAGACATGTCGGCGTCCAAGGTGGCGTCGCTCAAGAAGCAGGCCGCGGCGGCGCTCGTGGCCGTCATTTCCAGCGCCGACGACAACATCCGCGGAGGCCTCTACGACGAGAGCCGGGATGCGGTGGTGAGCGAGGATTTCTTGCTCGCTCTTCTCGGTGAGGCCACGGCGTTTGTCAGCCAGTCACCTGCCACCATCTCGCTCGAACAAATCGACGTCCTGCTCAAGGCGATTGAGGACATCCAGACGGTGGGCTCGCGGGTCCGTGATGCCTGCGATGACTTCTTCAACCTGGTGCTCGCGTCGGGCCAAGGCCTCAAGGGATCCACGCCTGCCGATCTGATGACCAAGTCGACGAGCTCGCTGAGCGGGAGCAGCTACGTAATGAGTGGCAGCTCGATGCTGGCCAGCCATTTGCACCGGTCGATGGCGGCGGGAGCCAAGGTGCACCGCGGATGGGACTGGAGAAGGGTGTGGACGGCGAACACAAAGGGCGACGACGTGCTGCGCAAGCTGCGCCTGGGGCTAGCAAAGGACCTGGCGGCGCTCTGGCTGGAGGGGGCGGATGGAGTCGCGACGTTTTGATCTGTGAAGTATTCGGGGTTGAGCAAGTAGAGTCTGCTGCGTCTTGGTGGCGGCGAAGGGCAAAGTTTGGTCGCGTGAGAAATGGTGTGGGCGTGGTTTCTGCATAGACATGATTCTCTGCGAGGATATCAGATAAATTTTCACCCTGGTGAGAAGCTCAGGACCCTCACCCCTTATCAATCCCTCCCTGAGCAGGAATTCATTTCGTACGCGCGTTCAGGGCATCGAAACTGGTCTTCTAGCTTCTGTATAGGCCACAGCGATATGTAGGGCGACGAAGACATGCACCCAGAAAAGACTCACCGAGAAGAGACGTTTAAACCCCGTACTTGGTACTTCTGACGTCGATCATGGAAACCTCAAAATTATGCAGAAGTAATGCTAAATAGTCGGAGCGTCCGAGTGCTTCACCATGTAGCGTTTAAAGTTCTGCTCGGTCATTGATTTTGCGTACATTTTATCTACGGGAAACAATGTTATGTACGGGTGTAGGAGTTTGCTTAGACTTAAAGATCTAGGCGCCTATTAGATATAAAATTCTCTAAGTATAAACCGGAGCTATAGCTTTAAAGTAATAAATAAAGGTCTACTATACCGCTTACTAGAAATATAGGTTATAAAGTATTAAGTGCTTAATATTATATTACTTAACGTTAATATTTTAACTCTACTAGCGGGTATTTTATATAAGTAATTCTTAATACTTAAAATTAAATAAAGCCTTTATAATAAGTAAAATAAGAAAGATAATCTACTTAAATAAAGTATTACTATTTATATATATATATATTACTATTTATATAAAAGCCTTATTCTTAAGATACTTACTAACGCTAGCCCGCTTTACTTATTTATACTTTACTTATATAATAAGTAGGGACCCGCCTAGGGTAGTACGCGGAGCGTAGGAAGGAGTAACCTAGGACTTACGAGGAGTACGGAAACTACTACTACTATAAGAAGCTTAGCGACGGCCGACTAGACCTAACCCTAAACCTAAACTAAAGCTAGTTTAGATAGCTAGCTTATAAGATAGAGTAACGACTAGGGACTATACTAAGGCAGGACCTATACCGGCGGCGGCATAGAGTCGTTTACTATAGCTTATACTATAGCTATAAATCTAATTAAGGTTAAGACTAGCAATAATCTTAGTTAAGACTAAACCGTGATAACTATAGAGACGCTATTAAATAAAGTTAGAAGCGTTAGTAAGGTCGATAGGCGACGTAAGGCAGGGAGGCTTTAAGGCGGGCTCGGTAGTAGGGGAACTACTAGGCTATAGTTCGGTATTAGAGCTAATAAAGGGGGACGTAGTATAATAGGGACGAGGGCATATACCTAAAGCACGCGTAGCACGCGGCTAAGGATTAGCAGAGCAATTAACTGCGTAATTATCTAATTATCGGTCCTATATATAGCTCTAAGGGTCTTAGGTTATTAATATAAGTCTTAGAGATTTCTTTACTCTATGCCTCTTCGTCTCTACTAGAGTCGCGTAACTAGCGGCCTCTACTTTAAAGGGGGAAAAATAAAATTCGAATTAACTATAATTAAGGAAGATACCTTATTAGATAATTAAGGTCTTTATAAAGCCTTTAAGTATACTTAAAAGTAAGTTAAATAGGGAGTGCTAGGGGTCTATAAGAAGGTATAAGTAATAAGCGTAGGATTAGGTAATTAATAACGTAAGCGGAAAGATCGGTCGAAGGAGTATAGGGTAGGATTTCGTCCGGAATTTATAACGAGCATATAAGGGGCTAAATAATATATTAAAAGAGTAGCGTTGTAAAAGATGCTTATAAACTTACTTATTCTATCTACTACTCCTAGGGAAATCCTTCGTCTTTTATAGACTATTGCTCGCTTACTAGTAGACTAATTAGTTAGCTTTCTAGTATATTCTATAGTGCTTAAAAAGCTCTATCTATAGCATGTCTTCCTAACTTAGTAAGTAGTCTGATTGTAACGTAATGGTTAACGTAAGACTATGGGTTCTAGTATAAGTAGTAGATTTAACTAGAATGTTCTATGCCCTACCTATTCTCGTATAGCGGATATCTTCGGAACCGCTAGTCTAAAATAGGCAATAGGGTATCCGTTCTGCTCGTAATTAACTTATGCATTTTATATATATTTTATTTTATTAGGATAGGCTTATCTTAACCCGCTTTTCCTAAAAGAAGGTATAGATATCTAGTAGAGGTCTTTGTCTTTAAGAGTTATTCCCTTAGACTATACTATAGAGCCTCTTTTTACTAGCTTATTTTATAGAGCCTCCCTATGCCTATTATTTCTTTATAATAGTAAAATAGGAATATAAGGGTATATTCTTATAGGGTCTTATCCTTCTATATTACGACTATAGCTACTAGGCCGCTAACGGTCGACTATATTAAGCACGTAATACGGTCTAACAGATAAATAGTTAGTACGACTATCTAATAGATATAAGATCGAGGGGATCGTAGAGATCTAAGTAATCTAGGATTAATAAGATTACTACGCTCTATACGATCTAACGTTAAGGATTATAGCTAGTCCTATAATCTAAGGATAGTCTCTATAGGTATATATAGCTACTTACTTTTACTCCGTTAAATAGATAGCTTAATAGCTTTTAATATATTATAATTATTACGATCTTTATTACGATCTTATCTTTGATTCTAATTACTTAATTACTTAGTTATAGTTTATAGTCTATAACCTTTAACTTATTACTAATATAATATACTTATTATTACTTAGACTACGCCCTATTATATCTACTAATATAAACCCCTTAATAGGTTTATCCCTTAGGAATAATACTAGTTATTATATATTAAAAGCTTTTATTTAGTATAATACTACGTTACTTTAAGTAATATAGTAACTATTAATATACCTATATAGTAAGATAGATTAACTAACTCTAGAGCTACTATATTGCCTTAAGATATAATACGCGAGATTATTACCCTTTAATATAAAGTATAGTTACTTAGGAATAAAGGAGGTAATAGATAAGTTAAGGACCTTAGAAAAGTAGTTAAACTAAAATAGCTAGGACTATTCGATAGTATTTATAGTATACTTTAAGACTTTCTTACTTAACTTAAGGCCTACTACTAGTTTTACCCTATTAAACTTTTAGACCTAGTTAAAAAGGTACTCTATATAAAAAATTATTTATCTAGAATAGTACTTACTTAGTTTAGACCTATTATAAGGGATTTTCTCGATAACTAACTAGCGCGATAAGATAATAAGATAGATAAAGTCTTTATTAGTTTTTAAGGATTTAAAGAAGCTATTATAAAGGTATTTAAAATAACTAACGAGGAATAAGAAGCTAAATAGAAACTTTAAGAACTCTAATAAAGGATCTTAGTATTAGATTATATAAAAAGTTCTATTAAGTTACCTTAAAACTTAATTAAGATAAAGAACCTCTTATATTATAATTTTATAATAGGCTTAAAGAAGAAGTTAAGGACGAGCTTTATAAGGAAAATCGGCCTAATAACCTCTTAGACTATATTACTATAGTAGTATAAATCGATAATAGATAGTATACGTAACGCTAAGAAAAGAAATAAGGAAGAGGAAACTAAAAACCCTTCTTATAAGAATAACTTTAACTAACGCGCTAACTATAAAAAGAAGCGTAAAACTCCTATTACCTATACCTATATAACTAACCTAGGTAGGATAGATCTAAATATAATATAAAAAGTAAAGGAAAGTATTTTAATTATAGGAAACTTAGATATTACTTTAAAGAATATAAATAACTTTATAAGGAGAAGAAAACCTACTAAGTACTAGCCCTAAAAAGTAAGAAATACCTAAACGCTATTAATAGATAGGAACTAAAGTATAAACTCCTTAGTTAGACTATATATTATAACGATAAATATATAGTATACTTAAGTAATAAGAATAGTATTAAATAGTTCTTAAAGCTACTAAGGAAAACCCTTATAGTAATATAATAAAGGGATCTTAAAATATAAAAATAAGTTAAATTTATAGAACTAATATACCCCTATCCTTCTTACGAAGAGAGATATAAGAAGTATATAAAAATATATAAAGGTAAAATTAAAAGTAAGGGGTTAAATAAGTAGGGCAGAGATATATAATTCTTATAAGGGTAGTAATTAAGGTAAGGGAGTAATTATTATATTACTTTAATTATCCTTCTTTCCTTTATTTAACGCCCCTCTTTATACCTATCTAGTATCTTAATTAATAAAGAGGATCTTACTTAAAGAAGCTATTAATATCTTTTTAACTACTAAACCTTTTACTAGTTTTTCCCCTCTTTTCTAGCTATTGCCGGTATATCTATCTTATCTTTTACTACCTTTATAGGAAGCTATCGCTACTTTTACTTCCCCTTTTACCTCTACCCTCCTCTCTATACCTCCTTTTAGCTCCTTCCTTAAAACCTATTTTTTAGCTTCCTAGGTCCCTTATACTAAGGGATATCTCTAAGAACTACGAAATCTAGCTACGCTTCGCGATATACCCCCTTAGCTATAGCTTGCTCTTATAGAAAGGGTAAAGCTAAATACTTAGGCCGGTAAGCGTATAAAGGAGGTCTTAGTCTATAATTATCCCTTACTTAAGAAATCCGGGTTTTAGCCCTAGGCTCTTTTAAACCTACTTTAGGAAAAAGGGGCCTTAAGGAGGATATTAAGTCTTATAAGAAAGGGGGGCTTCTCTAAGGATAAGCCCTTAAAAAGGGGGCCTTTTAAGAAGAATAAGTCCTAATTAAGCTAGGGGCCCTCCTCTAAGATAAGTCCTAATTCCTCTCTTTAGCTATAGACGTCTCCTTCCTCCTACGTACTATTAGCTCCTCTCGTAGACTCTTAAGGCGGGCTTCTAAGGATAGCTTCTCTCGAACGTCTTCTAGCCTAATTTACTATAAAAAGATAGCTAGCTTTTACTTAAGTAAGGGCTTTATAAGACCGTTGGCTTTTATTAATACCGTTAGAACCTAATAAATA